CGGAGGGATGTGGGGCACGGTGATGGCAGTCAGGAAGCTGCCAACTTCATCTAGAACTGAGAGGAGTCAGATTCTGAAGCTGCCTGCTCAGTCACAGGATGTGGTGACCACCTGGACACGGAGAGGAAAGTAGTAGAGTGCCAGTATTTTTTAGACTGGTAGGCTGTGACTGTCAGCACAGGGAAAATCCAAAACAAGAGGTACATGTTTAGAAAGGGAGACACATGGGAATAAGACTGTCTTCAAATTTCAAATAATTAATTTTGTTCTCACCCTTCTCTCCTGAGAAATCTCCAGTATTAACCTCCCTAGGGACACCTCAGGAGTCTGGTTGGGAAAGGAGCCACAATGCACATTTAGCATATTTTTATGATTAGCAAAGAATGGTTCTAAATCAGACCCAGTCCTTTGTGCCTATCATTAGAAGAAAAAAAAGTAGGGTTACTAAAAAATAACCAGTTTAATGGAGATTTGAGTATCAAAAACCAGTAGCGACTAGTATTTTATGGTGACTATAAGACACCCTAAACTAATCCTGGAAATACTAGAGCCTTTCAACTCCACCAGGTCAAAGCAAGCTCTGTAAAATCTAATCTAAAACAAAACGTGACAGAACCATTCTCAGTTTGCATTTGATCTAAAACTGCAGAAATGAAACATACTCAACCCTGTTCACTGGAGAAATAGTTCACGTTAGTTCCAGAGATCAAATAAGATTCATTTTCCTACTAGGTATAATTTGCCACTACAGAACAAGAAACCTCTACTTCTGGGAACAGCAACGCATGTCTGGTTGAGGAACAAAAGCACCTGCCAAAACCACTGTGGTAAGGGGCAGAAGGTGGGTTCAACAAACTCAAAGTTTGTGGGCTCCTAAAAAAAGTAAACAGTTAGGAAACCACTAAATGGAGTCACAGATTCGTATTCTGAAGAACCCCAGGTTGATGAGTTAAAGATACCTGCATCAAGAGTTCCCATTGCCAAGACTCAGGCCTCCGGCAGCAGCCTCCCTTGCCCAGTTGGTGCAATAGACTCCTGCTTGGTCTTCTCCTGGCCCTCTCTTCAGTCTTAACATGGCTCCTGCTGATCCTTTATAAAGTGAGGCCTTTAGTTTCAGCCTGCCTAGGCTGCCTAACACAATACCAGAGACTGAGGAACTTAAACAAAATTTATTCTTCCCAGTTCTGGAGGTTGGGAAGACTAAGATAGGGTGCCAGCATGATTGGGCTCTGGTGAGGGCTCTCTTCTTGGCTTGCAGACAGCTGTCTTCTCATGTGGCAGCACAAGCAAGCTCTGATCTCTCCTCCTCTTCTCATAAGGACACTAATTCTATCATGGGGTCTTATAATTATCTCCCAAAGTCTACCTCCAAATACGATTAAACTGGGGAACAAAGATTCAATAGGCGATAGCGGCTCAGGAGGCTGAGGTAGGAGGATTGAAGCCAGCTTCAACAACTCAGTGAGATCCTGTCTCTAAATAAAATATTTTTTAAAAGGGCTGGGGATGTGGCTCAGTAGTTAAGCACTCTTGGGTTCAATCCCTGGTACCAAAAAAAAAAAAAAAGATTCAATATGTGAATTGTGTGGGGACACAAACATATAAACACTCAGTCTGTAACACCCAGGAATATCACTCCTCTGCTCATATTCCTCCAATGGCTGAAAAAAAGATGTCCTTACACTGGCCAACAGGCCCTATGGTGTTGGTTTCCATGGAAAGGGCATAGTCCAATAGGGAATGCTTAGGAAATCTGTAAGGGCATTTCTTGATGGCCACAGGGACTGGGGATGACATAGGTCCTAAGTGTGGGGACCACGGAGGCTACATAGTCCTGCATGATCCAAGATTAAGCTGCATCTGCACACTGCTCTCATGTTTTCCCAGACACTCACACGGGGCCAAAAACCTTTACTAATTATTCAAGCCTGCAATCTGCTTTACACATAAGCACAAAAGTAATTTTGGCATGATTCCATACACTAAATTTTCTCAAATGGTAACTACTATATGTCAGGTAAGACTACACTTCCTTGTATGGAACATTTCCAAGAAGTTTACCACCTGGGAAAGCCAGTCTCCACAGGTGTGGTGACAGCCTTGCTGCATTAGATCCATCTGCACCGACAGACACAGCATTCTCTAACAGGCGGACAGCAGTGTAGGCTCAGCATTATGTGCTGAATTCTGCATATGTGATTAAAAATTACTTTTCTAATATCTTAGTTTTAGATTACCAGTGAGTAACACATTTCTTTGTGAAATGTGTGTATGTAGGTCACTGTCTATAAATTTTGTTTCAAGGGAGAATGGGGCCACTCTTTCCCTGATCGGCCCCCATAACCTCTCAGCATGGCTCACCTCCTACTCCACTCCAGCCATTCCGACTTCAGTGCTTCTCAGCCAAGGACACTCCTGCTCCTACCTGCTATGCCTTTCCCCAAAAACATGCCCTTGTCTCCTTGAGGTCTTGCTTAAAAGATACCTCCTCAGTGGGGTCTTCCCTGTTTAAAATTGCTGTCCTCTCACCTGGTCCCAATGTGGCACTACCCATTCTGCTTCTCTGCTCTGTTTTTTTTTCTCCACAGTTCTTTTCACCATGAATTTCTTTCCTGTTTCCTGTTTCCTGTTTCTCCACTAGAATGAAAACTTTTGTTATTATTATGGTTTTTTTCTTCTTTTTTTGCTTGTTTTGTTTCCTTACAGAATCATCCTTAGGAACTACAGCAGCATCTGGATCCCTTCATAATCCATGTATATATTAATGATTTAGAAATGCTAGTCTTAAAACTTTAGTTATAACCCCAAAATTAAAATTAAATTGCCAACTCAAATTATCAATGCATTAGCACCTTTAATCTTTGTAGAGAAATAAAAATTGAGGCTCCTGGTAAAAAAGGGTTGAACTTAACTTTAAAAGGCCAGCCTATTCTTATCAAAGCAATGAGACCGAGAACATAATGAATACTACCTGAAACTGTTAGACCAACAGGATTTCCTAAGTGTCTTTTAACTCCTCTCCTGCTCCCTCACCATCAGTTGCTGAATTCTACCTCTCACCTTTCCCATCCCTTCTCTTCCCTCTACCCCTTTTCAGGTCACCTTCCTATCTCTAGTCACCCTCCACACACTGTTGCTGGATTCATTTGAAAGCAGAGCATCAGCTGAGTCACCTGCTTAAGCACATTAATGGTTCCCAGCTTCCTATTGAGTCAGTAAGGCTTTATATACCACATAACTCCCCTCCCCTCCACTCTAATGTGTCCCTAAAGTCCTGCTGCATGGGGCCCGTCCTTGCATCCAAACCTGCAGCCTCCTGTGCTCTTTCCCAGGCCTCTCTCCCAACTGAAACTCAACTTAGCCCCATGGCTCACCTCCAACACCACAGATTCACACTGCCTCTCCTGCGGCAGATGGTGCAGGCTCCCAGCACATTACCAGTACCTCTCCTGCACACATAGAGAACTTGGCTCTGTGTGGAAGCTCTCTATATTTGACTTTTCTCCCCATCAGACCACTGGGTACCTTGAGGGCAAGGTTTCTGTTTTTCATCTTCATGTCCATACAGCATCTTTCCCAGTTTAGGTTCTTTAAATACATGTTAAATGGAGTAAAAGAGAGGTGAATTCTTTCAGCTCTAAGTTACAGGAGAGAACAAATTGACTTGTATGTATGACTAAGTAACAGACAATTTTGCTGGATACAGCTGAAGCTACTTAAAGACTTGGAGAGGATCAACTTAAAACTGCATATGCAGAGAAAAGCAGAGCAGAAGGCAGCGGCTTGGGGAAAGGTGCCCTGCCTGGAAACACTGGAAACCAAGGTAGGGTCCTAACATTCAAGAGCCAACGTGTTTCTCCTAGTCCTTTGTGACTAACTGATTTTCACCTGTGTACAAAATAGGAAATTCTGAAATTTAAAGATTTCTGCTTTCCTTTTAATGCATTACAAGTCTTAACCATGAAGAACAGATAGTACAGATGAAATTCTTGGAACCTGAAATGAAAAGTCAGCATTACAGTCTTCTTGTGGTCACTCATTCCTGAGACAGCTAGTTCTTTTGGGGGCTTAAAGTTCTTGCTGATACAATCAGGGCCCAATCAGGTGAGGCAGGATGCCTGTGGTACCCAGGATGGGCACAAGGTTTGCTACTGAATTGACAAAATGATGTGACCTTTTGACACATGCCAAATAATTTTTCATCTAGACTACTATTTCAAAAGCTTTCCTCAACAAAGGAACACTACTGGCTGTGCTCATGAAAATAACGAGCCATAAAGTAGTGCCACAAAAAAACACGCTGGTGAGACAAACTATAGCCAAATGAGAATTACTACCAGACTAGCAGAAATAACACTGAAAGTCCCAAAGCCTGAGATTTGCATGGCTTTATCTGGGAAGATTACCTTTGAAATCAAATACAATTAATTTCCCAGCAGTAGGGCTCCACTCTGCTAACTAGCATCAGGAAGATAAGATCATAAGATAGACGCATGAGAGGTTAAACAAAAACAAGCCCAGTCTTTTGCTCCCCTCACCACAACAACCCAATAAAGTGGTTAGCTTGGATGAATGTCAAATCTTATAGCCCTCAGTTATTTCAGACTATAAAAACAAATGAGTAATTTGAGGAGCTGAGAAGACATCTTTGTGTAATTATGATAACAAGATTCTAATCATCAGGACCTAACATATCTAATGCAGCATAAAGACTAACTACTAGAGCTATTAATAGAAAAACCTAGAGCTATTTAAAGTCTGGACAGAAGCAAAGAAGCAAAAAAGATAAGACCCGCTTCTTCAACTGATTCACTTAGTGGATAATCAATTCAGGCTACAGACACATGGTTTGAGCAGAATTCATTTCCCTCCCTTTATTCCATTCTCCTTTCTTATTTTATTAAATAACATATAACTGTTTTCTCTCTTTCTTTGGAATATGTTTACTTGGAAGCAGCTAAGCAAACGTCCAAGGTGCCCAAGGACCAAATCGAAATTACCTTCTTTTAAAGTCCACTTGATGGAGCCTGTCCTCTTGCTGACAGCATGCAAGCTTCCATCCAGCGTTGACACAAACAATAAGGTTTCAGGCAGTGTCACTGTGCTGGTACTTCCAAAAATCTGCAATGGGATGTAGAAGATTCTCCATGTCAATATGATTCTTTGCCTTGGGCATGTACAATCACAGACCCCCGCCCCGAGTTATCCCTTATGAAATCCTCCATCTCACAGATGGAAAAACTAAGGTTGGAAGGGCCTGCGTTCCCATCAAGAGCACATGTCTAGACAAGAGCTGAATCAGGACTGGGACCAGGTCACCTATCCTATCTCACTGTCAATCCTACCTGCAGAGAAAACGGTTTATGACCTAACATGACAAGGACAAAAATTCTGAAACAATCTGCCGGCAGCGCCCACTGACAGGGAGAGGGACAGTATGCTCAGCTTTCTGACTTCCCTCCCGGGACCAGTTGCCTATTTTACTCTCTAAAACCTGGGCATTTCATAATACTCCATGAATAAAAAAAAAGAATAAAAATAAACACACACACACAACACACACACACACACACAACACATACGCATACACTTATGAATAAAAGCGTGACCTCAAACTTCAAACTGTTCCTCACAAGCAAAATACAATTAAATTAGAATGTACCTTTTTCTGCTAAATGTTATTTTAAAAATTCAAAATACTTTTAAAGAAAATATCTAAAGTCTATGAAATTATCTTTCTGATCCACTGCTGGTCATAATAAAAATTACAAATTAGTAAATAATCTTTCTAGGAAATACAAAAGTACTCATACTTCTGGATCTTGTAATATTTCTAGAAATAAAGAAATAATTTCAGATATGCAAAAGCTCTGGGCACATGATATTCATTACATCCTATTTACATACAACAACAACAACAAAAACCCCAGAAAGAACAAAATTTCTAGTATCTAAAAGGCTAAAATAAATAAGGATACATAAACTGAATAAAATGTTACATAAGCATTAACACAAAACTTTGAAAAATCTACAATACAGAAAAATTCTTATACATGTTATCCAGTAAAAATTTTAGAATCCAAAGTGTGATGTACACAGTGGTCATAATTATACTGGACAGATTTTTGTCTGCCTGGCTTTGCTAGGAACTGGACCCTCACCCATGGTATCCACAGGTGCAGTCATGCGTGCATGCTAGCAAGATTTCCTAGGGACCCACTTAGCAATGCAACCCTTGTAATAAGATTTTCCCTTCCTTTGTGACTATACTATTCTACAAATTAGCTGGTTCCTGTGAGGGGGTCTTGAATCAAAAACAGGACAAACCAATTTGTTTATACTGAAACCATTTGAATTTTGTCATAAATGCTATTTTTAAAATATTGGACTATGGCTGACTTTTAGCATTAAACACAAAAGTTCTGGTGGGTTGCTTGTGCATGAGAGCCTGATTCCAGAATGCCTTGTCTCTCTCATTAAGAACCAGGATGAAGCCTAGTTAATCCTTTAAAAATTTAGGCCCGGATGGCACTCTCCAGAGTAGGCTGAATTGGGGGGTCAAACACTCCAGTCTTTGAATTCCTTTTCCATGGGGGAGACCCACTAGTGAAGGGGGGGATGGGGTGTTAGAACTGCTGCCAGAACCTTGCTCTTTCCATCTATCTCTTGGGAGTGCCTGGAGGGGGGAAAAGTTCAGCCCTTTGCTTAATCCCAGGCCACGCCCACTCCCTGGAGTAGGAGGAACAACAGCAAACTTTACTGCTGCCTGCTGGGTCCATTCTCTGTGCAAGGTCTAGAGCCTCAGGAAGAGGAGTCTGCTTTTAATTCTACCTGTGGAACCAGGAAACTAGTCTCAGATCTGAAATGGATGGGAAAACAGGAATCTCAAAGGTAATGTCTGCCCTATCTGAGGATCCAAAGGACACTGTGTTAGGAATGGTTAAAATCACTTTAGCCCAGAAGGTAATAAGCCACATCTGGACCTCACATGAGGAAGCTGCATGGTCCAGAGCACCAGGCTGTTGCTAAATGAGATAGCGCTATCTCCCAGAGAAGAGAGTGTGTTTGCAGCTTGCTGTTGGATGTACAGATCAGTTTAGCAGGAGCAGTTCCAAGGCTGAATAAATGACAAGGTAGATGTATGCACACCTGGGGGCCAAGATGTGGACCCTTCCACCTACTGGTCAAATAGTGACCACAGGAATAACCATTTGTATAACAAGTCTTGGAATCTAAGAACTGAGTTGGAATCTCTGGGTGGCTGAAGTAGAAAGAAAACTTGGGAGAGTTCTATGAACACGTTCTCTGCCATGTGGTAAAAGCTGGATGATAGGAAGAGAAACAAAAGGAAGGCTAAGGAGAAACATGGCTCACAGATTGAGACAGAATGCCTGACTCTTCCCTGGGATTCAGAGACACCCCAGTCCTAAGAGTAAATTTCCCTCTTTGCTTAAGCTTGTTGGAATCAGGCTTCTGTCACCTGCAACTGAAGTAGTCCATGCCTCAGACAATCCTATTTTTAAAAATACAAACATTAAAAAAAGATGAAGAAAATATTGCAAAATTACAGCAATAGTACTTTTTCTTCTCTGACTTTTCAATAATATGATACCTTTTACATTGAATCTTTTATGAAGCAAAAAGGAGATATACAAATTAGGAGGTGTCAGAAAAGCTACAATTTGAAGAAGCTTCAGCAAGCACCTGAGTTCTAGACAAAGTGCTTTCTATCTCAGGACATTAGGCAACTTGACCACCCTCGATCATCAATACCAACCAGGAAGGGACCAAAACTTGGAAACACTGAGGTCTCCTAATCAGATCATATACATCTAAGAGCAAGAGTTTGATGTTACTATTAAAACTTACAGTGTAACAATAATAAACTAAATGTTCCCAAATACATCTTTTCACATAATTAATATTTAAAAGGGTCAATATTCACTAAAACATATCAATGTTACTTCGCTATGAGTGGAGACAAAAGCCATCTGCCTTGTCTGAGCATATTAGAAACTACAGGAAGAAAAACTGTTTATGGTTGGCTGGTGAATCGAAATATAATACTAATCACACAACTAATGTAGTCTTCTAAAAGTCTCGAAAACACAAGGGTTAGAGAAAAGTTGAATTTAGCAACTGAGAGCTCTGATAGTTACTGACAATATCCACAGTAATCTCATAACTGGAAGGTTCTTCTCGTCTAAAGTTTTCAACATTTCAAAGCAGGATGCCTGGGAGCCACGCTCCAAAGGCAAGTAAAAATTACACATTTTCTGGCTCTTTCCCCCATAGCATTTTTTGAAGCATGAAAATGCCTGCTTTCAAATATAATTGCTATAACTAAAGAATTAAATATGCTTCTAGATGCCTTTTGTGATTCTGAACACAACTTAGAACTACTTATACCTGAACATTGAAAAACACTGCTTCACGATAATAAACTTGTCCATTACCTTTGCCCAGCCGGTTCAGTCTTCAGTGCTCTTTTCTCTAGAACAGATGAAATAGCAACAGGCCCTACGGCTATACATGCTAGTTTCCAGAGAGCCTGAAAATAGAAAGAAAAGGCCAATTCTACAGATCTGTTTCACACTGACTATCTGGAATATGACTCGTGTTTAAAAGTAGTAGAATATATATACCTAGCTTTGACAGTGACTTTTAGGAAGTACTCAATAGTATGTAGTCTAGTCTACCTTAAAACTAAACATCCATTAGCTAATTGGTATAGATATCAGGCTCTGTTTACATAGTCCTTCTCATACAAGGTGACTGGAGATCATTCTGGAAAGGCTGAGCCTGAGGACTGAGAAGCTCTGCTACTGGAGGCAGATGATTCTTGGGAAAGAGCTCCTGGTAAAACTAGCAGATTTCACTTAAAGGGATTGAGTGACAGAAGGGTACTTTCTGCAGCTCTGCTTAGCAAGGATTTCAACAAGGCCCCTCGCCTCCACATAAACAAAAGCAAAGCCCAATGTTCTGATTATAAAACAATTTTCCCCAAAAGTCCAGCAGCTTCAATGAGGCACCACCTCCTTGGTACCACAGAGATACAAAAGTAACTCTCTACTTCCAATGCAGAGATAAGTGAAAGGTAAGTCACCAACAATTTAATTTTTCTCCATATTCTGAACTCAGCTCACTTTTAGTTCCTTCTGCATTAATTATTTTATGATTCAATAAGGAAAAACTATTTTATAAAATGATCCCTGAGCCAGGTACCGTGAGTGGTGCATGCCTGTAATCCCAGAAAGCTGGTGAAGGAGGATTGTAAATTCAAAGCTAGCCTCAGCAACTTAATGAGACCCTGTCTCAAAATAAAAAATAAAAAGAGCTGAGAATGTGACTTAGTGGTACAGTGCCCCTGAATTCAATCCCCCAGGTCCAAAACAAACAAATAAAATCTAAAAAATAAAATACCCTCTGGAATAATTTTGTTTAGAAAAAATTTTCAGTGAAGAGAATTATGGACCCAAGGGACAGGTAACTGTTTAAACAGCACGAAAACAAATGGAATAGCCTCTAACAAAAACCTACCAATTTCTAAGCCAATATCTGGGACCATTCAGGCAAGAAAGTAGTTCACCAGTGGCTGAAGAACAGCCAGCAAAGACCCATTGGCTTGGCTTTGAAGGTCATGCCTATTACTAAAGTTGCCACTTTCCCTCACCCCCCCCCCAATGAGCACAGCAGGAGGCATTGAGGAAGCTCCTCTGAGATTCAGAACACAGGACTGCTGAAGGTTTCTCATCCGGGTTTCAGAAATGCTGCACTTTCTAAAGAAATAAAATTCAGAAAGTGCAGACACATTTTAAAAACTAGTTTCTAGGTTAGGTGACCACCTAATAACAAAGGTCAGAAATAAGGTTAATACAACCATCTCTAAATCAGTGGGAAGAGGCAGTTTCATGCACACACATGCCTCATACCCGTAGTTTTACAAAGCGATTTATACTCCATGAGAATTGTAATCTCTGTCCCATTTACAAAACTGGAGCTTAATAACAGGACTGTAATCTCTGTTCCACTTCCAAAACACCTTCAAAAAAAGATATACACACATATACACAGAAGCCCTGCGATTGTTCTTAGGCAGCAATGCCAATTGATGAAGTCTA